GTAATGTCACCCATAGTGTTCAGAGGATTGAATTTAGAGCCAGACTTTTATAGTATAAATAGGATTTTTTTTTTGACAAACAAAATTGCGGGAAAAAAACCCCCAACAAGGATCATGTAGAGCGGGTTAACACGGATATTTTAAGACCAAAATGACGAAGCTCACAGCAGCAGTTACAGAGAGAGAGAGACAACAATATTCCAATGTAAGTCAAGAGGAGCCAGAGTCAGTAGGAGCTGGAAGAGCTGCATGCGAACTTCCTATTTGGAACATGGCAGCTGGCGTTTCCTACGTTACCATTCATATATACAGTCTACAGCCAGAATATGTAAAGGTATAGTCCAAACCCAGCCAAGCACAAGATCTGGAGATGGGACAAAATCTCACTTCACAAAATCTCAAGAGACAAAAGAAGGGGTTTTGTGCGGTCAGTTACATCTTTTATAGTTCCAAATAGCAGTACTAGATTCTCAACAAAAATATTAGACAGACAGACAGACAGACAGATAGACAGACAGATAGATAGACAGACAGATAGATAGATAGATAGATAGATAGATGTCTCTTGCTCTTTTTTGCTACTTATTTTAGAATTTATGATTATCATTTATATTTTCGTCTTTGTTATTATATTCATTGTGATGTGTGAGCTGCTGTGTCCAAATAATTTCCCTTGAGGATCAATAAAGTTTGTCTAAGTTTAAGTTATTGATCGTGAAAGAAATTTAAAGTTTGGAAGCATCAACGCAGAAGTAAGCATCACAGCATAGAAAAGAGATCTAAAATTGCACTATGTAACTTTTTGGTTGAGGGTCCGTCACCTGCTTGTTTCTATGGATGTGTCATTGCTCTGCCTGGAATGTTCCACAGTATGACATTAAACAGATCGACTTTACATTTATTCAGTTATAGGTGGTTTTATAGCTCAAAAATACCTAGAAAACGTGTAACTTGGTCTGGTTTGCACCTTTAAACTTAGACTACATAATCACTCTTGTGTATTTGTATGTTATTATTCATTCTATATCTGCTGCTGTGGTCCTGTTTTGTGGTTTAAATACAATCTCATAGTTCTGTTTTCTTATTTTGTATTTTTTCCTCCAGCTGTATGTGCACATTCATTGACCACACTCAGCGCTCCTTCACCTGCGGTCCTCTTCTCTGACCCTTTCGTGCAGTTCGGGTTTCTTACGGTGAAGCAGGACACTAACAAATCCGACCTTCACCCCGCTGCACTGCTCCCGAAATCACCAAACAGTCCAGGACCCAGTGTGACCCCAACACCTGCAGCTGTGGAGACCAGAGTCACTGCCTCCTGCCGTCACACCAGGTTTAGACACACTTTATGAGCTTTTTGTGCTTTTGTAATTCACAATTTTGGCACAGTACAGTTTATTTAAGCTTCATCGACTTTATTGACTAAGAACCAATTCTCATTAAGCAAAATTCACCTTAATTAAACCATGTTATTATACTGTTCCCTCATCACGATCTCAGAGGAACCTGATGGAGCTGTTTTGTTTTATTAAACCGTTTTAATTGAGGTTTACAATGAACAAAATGTAAAATGGCCCATAATAATCTGTGTTTACTAAATACTCACAGGGGCATACATTATAAAACAATGAATTTTCTTCCTTATTTTTTTTATTTTTACACATCCAATCCAGTCCACTTTATTTCTATAGCACATTTCATAAACAGTTTCCAAAGTGCTGCACAAATACATAGTAATAATAACCCTAACCCTAATAATAATAAATTGTGTAAAGTATAATAATACATAATTTAATCTCACTAGTCCTTAAACAATAAAACAAGTAAAATAAAATAAGAGAATAACCACAGAATAGTAGGGATGTAAGTCTAACTGAAATATTGTGATACTGTATCATCAAAGTTGTCACAATAACATCGTGGACCATCACAATTTATCGATTCATAAGTCTCTTTGCTTAAATGAAGAGTTATGCTGCAGCAATAGCTGCAGCATAACTCTTCAAAAGACAGAGGGAACTACATAGACCATGATCCTTTGCTCCATTTCAGTGTAGACTACAAAAAGAAATAACAGTTCTAAGCGTTTTTAAGTCTTAGTTTTTTGGGTTAAGTTTTGTCAAGGCTTTAAAGAGGAAAAAGCAGCATATTAACAGTTTTGTTTTCCTTCACAAAATATCGCAATAAATATCCTACCGTGAGATGTATATTGTGAAAATATTGTACATAGAGATTTGGATATTGTTACATCTCTAATCATGAGCCTCCTCACCACATCATGAGCTTTCCCTCGATATCGCAATAAATATTGTACCATGAGCTTCATACCGTGATGATATTGTATCGTGAGACTTGGATATTGTTTCACCCCTCCAGAATAGCAATAAATAAAGAAAACCAATAAAATGTATAAAATAAATAAAAGACCCATATAGATCACATGTAAATATAAATCAGCATAACCCACTAACTCACTAGCTGTTGTGTTCAAATTAAAATAGAAATGGAGGTGTTTCTGGCTCCATCAACTCTGGTTCCAATTGACTTTACATTGAAAATTTGTACCCCCTTTCTCTGTAATTACAGTGAGCTTCTTCAATTTGGTTTTAAAATGTTCGTATTAACCCGCTCTACATGATACTGGTATTTTTATTTAGCTATTTTGTTTGTAAATTATTTTTTTCTATTCTTAAGATTGAACTCAACTCTAAATTTTCTCCTATAACTGCTGGTCTCGTACATTAATCAGGCTTACATAAGGCTTAATTGGAACATTATCATAACTATGATGACTAAAACAACTCAAGTCAAAGAGCACATTTTGACTCATTTGCTTAATTGGACACAGCATAATTGTATTGCACATTACATGCAATCATTTGAGCCTATTTGTTATGAGTTAACTTACTGTATTTATTTAGAAGCCAATTAACTCTTAAGGCTTCAGAGCTTGTGCATTTCTCACTCAGTTTCAGTCTGTTTTTGAAGTGATTCTCAAACACATGTCACTGTGGTCCGTCCTGTTGTTGCCGCTGACGCACGGAGGCGCTCGCTCACTCCTCCAGCCATTTCTCCGCATTGCTTTGTAACATTTGAGTCCAGCCGTCTCTCTTTCTCTCTCAGAGCAATAACATCTGCATGAGGAAAAGCATTTGAAGGACCCTCCGCTAGAAAAGTTCTACAATATGTAACTTTTCTGATTGTCCCATTTGAGATGTTATTGTTGAGAATGTTTCATAGTGTGGCATTAAATGTACCTAGCTCCAAATTGACAAACAAGCAAAGCCACCACACCAAGTTACTGGTAAGATCTGTGGAGCTGCAAGTCAGGAAATGTAAAGTTAAGTTTAATGCCATACTGCGGAGCTTTCCAGGGAAAACAGATGCATCTCTAAAGCTCACCACACTACAAGAAAAGTTACATCGTGCAGCTTTAAGTGTGATTTATTATCTTTTCAATCTAAAGTGCCATGTAATTTAAAAATAGATCAGACTCTGCAGACAGTGGAGGTCTCCTGTATTTTAGACTTTTGCAAACATGTTCTTAAATCTTAAATCAGAAAGTTACCCTTACTGAAAAATGTAAAAGTGGGCAAAGTACAAACTGGAGGGACTCCGACTGAATTATTAAAAGTCCTTTATTACATGAAGGGACGTGTTTTGACCAGCAAGATGGTCTTTGTCAGGGCAGAATGGTAAAACAGGACACACTGGTGCCATTAAATACAATGAGTTATCAATCACATGACAACATCACATGATTATAGGAAAAAGACAAATGAACAAAAACAAAAAAGATTTAAAAATCCAAATGATCTTTTGGATTATTCAATGTTCCTCTGAAACTTAACTCTTTTTGGCATTCTTTTATGTAGATTATATTTTTGACCTGTGGTATCTTATTGTATATTAATTACTGCATATGTGATGGACACAACTACGTACCTCCAACATGTCCTGTTTATCTTGTTTCTGTTTGGTGGTTCTGCTCATCACCTTTATATTCCTCACTGTTGTTTTTGTTTTGTTCATTGTCCTTTTCCTGTAGTCATGTGATGTTTTCATGTGACATGATAATTAATTGTATTTAATGACACCAGTGTATCTCATTCTACTGTTACGCCCTAACGAAGAACATCTTGCTGGTGGAAACACGTTGGTGTCCCTTCATGCAAATAAAGGACTTTTAATAAATTCAGTCAGAGTGCCTCGGGTTTGTACTTTACCCACTTTTACATTTTTCAGTAAGTACTTTCTGTTAAGATGACCAGTTTAACCCTCGTAGAGCATATGTACTGTTATTTTTAACTTTTTTATGACCCAGTGAAGCGCTCTACCTCTTTTTTTCATCTGATGTTCTGAAATGTATTTAAGTTGTGCACATAATATTTTAGTGATAAATAATCCAAGACTATTTTAATACACTTTTTCTTATTTAACACATGTACACTTACACTTTTTGAATATGAATCAGAAACACTGTATGAATACTGCAGTAATTATTTGAGCCTGTTGGTTACGAATTAACCTATTCACCTATTACATTTATTTAGAAGCCAATTAACTCTTGAGGTTTCAGAGCTTGTGCATTTCTCTCTCAGTTTCAGTTCGTTTTTGAAGCGACTCTCAACCTCAACCACCTGTCACTGCGTGGGCCGTCCTGCACTGTTGTTGCCTCCGACGCACGGAGGCGCTCGCTCACTCCTCCATCCATTTCTCCGCATTGCTTCGTAACATTTGAGTCCAGCCGTGTCTCTCTCTCTCTCTCTCCCTCTCTCTCTCTCTCTCTCTCTCCCTCCTTTCGCTTCTGTTTTCAGCGCTCTGTCAGTCAGTAGTGCTTTGCTTTGCTCCGCCGCGCTCGCACTCGTCTCCGCGCACTCTCTCTCTCCGTAACAGTCAATGCGGGCATGACACACTGGCATTTCTAGTGAAGAAGGGGGGCTCTCCTGGTCCTACAGCCTGCGATCGGAACAGCAGCTGAAACAGTACGGAAGACGGAGGGGGGAGAAGAAGAAGACGCATACGGATTAGACGCGCGTGGAGTGACTGTTCCGTGAAGCCGTAGTGCGCTAAAGACTTGATCCGTCAATGGCAGGGGCACAGCCAGGAGTCCACGCGCTACAGCTCAAACCGGTGTCCGTGCCCGAGTGTCTAAAACGGGGCAACAAATTTATGAAATGGGACGATGTAAGTACCAGCTTTCCACGTTTTGTGCACGTTTAAATCCGCGGTTCCTGCATGCGGATTTGTCTTTCTCAACGCTTATGTAGTCACCCTCCGCTCATTCACGGCTCCAGTCATCGGTTCGTGTTACGCGTTGTGGTTCTAGCGCATTGACAATAGCGAATACTCCATGTGCTTTGTTTATACTCCCCGTGCGCGCGTCTGTACGTGTATGTGCGCGCGCGAGAATCCTCATTAATTCCAATTGAATATTTGAACCAATTTACCCCTCATGTTTTGGAGAAGCGCTTCGCCAATTAGCAAACGATTTATTTGCATATCTTGGCTCAGCGTGGGGGGGAGAGAGAGGTGTTTTTTTGTTTTTTTGCAGAACGTGTCTCCTCCTCGCTACAGAAATGGATTAATATTGATTTCGCTCTAAAATGGCCTTTAAGTGTGTGCTGTATGACCGCACTGCACCTGCACGCCGGCACATTTACTCTGACACATCCTTGACACGCGCCACTGGACTCCGAGCAAAGAAGCTGTTGCACTCTTGACTTGATTGCATCTTCAGGACTGTCACTGTAAAACCGAGATCTGTGGACATCCTGGGTTTGGACCTGGTGCGGTCTTGGTTTAGACCTTGTTTGTAGTAAATTTTTCCCAATCTTCAGCGCTGTCACTGTAAGACCAAGATCTATCATCTACTGACGAACATCTACTGCTGCTTTAGTCTGTTCAGTGCTGGTTTGGACCTGATTCAGTCTTGGTTTAGACCTTGCCTTTAGTCCATTTCTCCATCTTCAGGGCTGTCACTGTATTACCAAGATCTATAGACATTATTACTGGTTCAGTCTTGGTTTGGACCTTGTGTTTAGTACAGTTTTCCATCTTCAGTGCTGTCACTGTAATACCAAGATCTATAGATATCTACTGGTTTAGTGGTTTAGGGTTCAGATCTGGTTTAGACTTCGTGTTTACTTTTTTTTTTTTTTTTATCTTCAGGGCTGTCACTATGATACCAAGATCTGTAGACACAAAATGTCGGTTTAGTCCTAGTTTAGTCCTATAGGTTTGCACCTGGTTTTGATGTAATTTTCAGTCCATTTCTCCATCTTCAGGGCTGTCACTATTACCAAGATCTGTAGACATGTATTACTGGTTTAGTCCTGGTTTAGTCCTAGGTTTGCACCTGGTTTTGACCTGAGTTTTAGTCCATTTGTCTATCTTCAGGACTGTCACTGTAATATTAAGATCTAGAGACACCTATTACTAGTTCAGTCCTGGGTTTGGACCTGATTCTGTTCTGGTTTAGACCTTGCCTTTAGTCCATTTCTGTCACTGTTATACCAAAATCCTTAGATACATATTGCTGGTTTAGTCCTAGGTTTGCACCTGGTTTTGACCTAATTTTTAGTCAATTTCCCCATCTTCAGGTCTGTCACTGTCATACCAAGATCTATAAACACATATTACTGGTTTAGTCCTGGGTACAGACTTGGTTCAGTCCTGGTTTAGACCTTGCCTTTAGTCCATTTCTCCATCCTCAGGGCTGTCACAGTATTACCAAGATCTATAGACATTATTACTGGTTCAGTCTTGGTTTGGACCTTGTGTTTAGTACAGTTTTCCATCTTCAGCGCTGTCACTGTAATACCAAGATCTATAGATATCTACTGGTTTAGTGGTTTAGGGTTCAGATCTGGTTTAGTCCTGGTTTAGATCTCGTGTTTACTTTTTAAAAAAAATATATCTTCAGGGCTGTCACTGTAAGACCAAGATCTGTAGACACAAAATGTTGGTTTAGTCCTAGTTTAGTCCTATGGGTTTGCACCTGGTAATTTTCAGTCCATTTCTCCATCTTCAGGGCGGTCACTACAATACCAAGATCTATAGACATGCATTACTGGTTTAGTCCTGGGTTTAGACCTGGTTCAGTCTTGCTTTAGACCTTGTTTTTAGTCATTTTTTAGTCATGGCTGTCACTGTAATGCCAAGATAGAGACACGTAGTACAATTTCAATTTCTCCATCTTCAGGTCTGTCACTGTAACACCAAGATCTACAAACATGTATTACTGGTTTTGTCCTGGGTTTGGACCTGGTTCAGTCCTGGTTTAGACCTGGTGTTTAGAAATAGTTTTTTTCTTCAGGGCTGTCACTGTCATACCAAGATCTATAGACGTGTATCACTGATTTACTCCTGGTTTGGACTTGGTTCAGTCTTGGTTTGGACCTTGTGTACAGTTTTCCATCTTCAGGGCTGTCACTAATACCAAGATCTATAGACATCTACTGGTTTAGTCCTGGGTTCAGACCTGATTCAGTCCTGGTTTAGACCTTGTTTTTACTTCATTTCTTCATCTTCTAGGCTGTCACTGTAATACCAAAATCTTTAGACACGTATTACTGGTTTAGTCCTGGTTTAGTCCAAGGCTTGCACCTGGTTTTGACCTAATGTTTAGTAAATTTTTTTTTCATCTTCAAGTCTGTCACTGTAATACCAAGATCTATAGGCATGTCCTAGTTTAGTTCTGAGTTTGGACCTGGTTTAGTCTTGGTATAGACCTTGTGTTTAGTAAAAAAATATATATATATATCTTAAGGGCTATCACCCTAATAATACCAAGATCTAGAGAGACATATTACTGTTTTATTCCTGGATTTGGACCTGGTTCAGTCTTGGTTTAGACCTTGTTTTTAGTCCATTTCTCCATCTTCAGGGTTGTCACTGTAATACCAAGATCTATAGACATCTATCACTGGTTTAGTTCTGGATTGAATCCTGGGTTTAGACAGGGTTCAGTCCTGGTTTTAGATCTTGTTTTTAGTCAATTTTCTCATCTTCAGAGCTGTCGCTGTAATACCAAGATCTATAACATCTACTACTGGTTTAGTCCTCGTTTGGACGTAATTCAGTCCTGATTTAGACCTGATACTAAGTCTGAACCTATGCGTCTTTGTTCTCCATTGAATTTATTATTATTGAAGGAAATTATACATATTTTCTAATGCAATTCAAAATGCTAAACCTTTAAGCAGGTCTACTGGTTTAGTCCTGGTTTGGACCTGATTCAGTCCTGGTTTAGACCTTGTTTAGTCCTGATTTAGTCCTGATTTAGTCGATACAAACACTGTAGTATATATTAGCCCTTTTATGGCCATGTGTAGCTTTCATCACTGAATTGACAAATGACAGATGCACTAATTTCCTTATATCTCCTTTTCTATGGATATCTTTATTTAATGATATTACTGACATCGCAATCTTAATCCAAATTTTTTAAGGAAACAATATCAGATTTCAATATTATCTATAGATCTTCTCCAAAACAGTGAATCTTTATGGCCTAGTGATGTGTCTGGTGCTTGTCTCCATGGAGATAGTTAAATTAAATGCCGTACTGTAGAACATAAAAACAACATGAAGTCGAAGCAGTGGACCCTCTACCAGAAGTTAGCACCTTTGTCAGTTGCAACAATTAATATTGATAAGAATTTGCTGATTTGAGTGACAGTTCTTGTGGTTTAGCTCACAAAATGTCCCTTAATATGAAATTTTTACTGAATTTAATAGGTATAAAGCTTCGGTGATGCCTCGAGGACATCCTGATAGAGTATTTACAGACAAAATCATTTTTCATTAACTCATTTTAAATGTGTCTCGTGTCATTTTGGTGTAATTACTGCTTTGTCTGAGTCATAAAACGGAATTTCTCATAACAGAATGTTTTGGAGTTCAGAAAAGAATTATTCCATTACAATATTAGTTGACAATTATTTCAGTCAGTCAGGTTTTAGTTGTTATGGTTGAATACAGATAATTGAGGGTTTTCTGTTTGTTTTTACCATAATCATTGATCAATAAATTACATGATTTCTGTGAGTATAATTGTATAACATCACAATTTGACTAGTAGTGGTGGTATACTTTATCGTTGGTGATATTGGAGGATTTTAACAGATATCGGTATTGAAAATTGTGTTGATATTCAGTACTGGTATTGTTTCTGCACTGCCTCAGTCTGTGTGTGTCCATGTGTCAGTCCCAGTTTATCAGATTTGTCTTTTTGAACAGAATACATGAGATAAACACATTTTGTTATTATTTTTTGTTATTATTTTTACAGAAGGTCAAGTTTATCTGTAAATCTCACTACAATTTAAGGAGGGGGCATTATGCAAAATAGTTTTTTGTTTTTTTTTAAGCTTTAGTTCGGTCTGCTTCTCTCTATGGAAATGTTGTCTGTAATGTTCAGCAGATGCCATTACACTTATTTATCTCTATGGAGAAGTGACACCTAGCCAGGTTGGTGCCACCTAGTGCCTCGACTCAATTTCATTTCTCTCCAGCGACTAGGTCAGGAATCAGAATACACTAGAGGGTTTGCAAGGACCCCAGAAGTTGTAGACCGGCCAATCAGCAAAGAGCTGTGAAGCCATGACGTCAAACTCAAGCACCTGTCTGAGTCCTTTTTGTGGTACAGCACAAAAGTAAACAAAGTGGTCGAGATGGATGTAGATGAAGCCAAACATTATGTGATGGCAACGATTCCTGAGATCGAGAATTTAAAGCTGGAACAAAGAGAATGTTTGGTGAATTTTATCAAGGGAAAAGACGTTATTGTCCTTCTTCCTACTGGATTTGGTGCATTTTATACATCACGACCGAATGGCAGCGATTGGTTAAATAAAAAACGTACCCGCCTACCGTCGAGCAAACGAATCCTAATGCTGCGAGGTCAGATGGTTTGTACGAAGTGAAACCGGCTGATGAATCAGGCTAGGTGACACCCATGCTGTGTTCCAAATAAAAAGTGACCGGCTCCATCAACTCAGTCTCCAATTGACTTTACACTGAAAAATTGTCACCCCTATTTCTGTAACTGCTGCAGTGAGCCTCGTGATTTTGATCTTAAAATGTTCATGTTAACCCACTATACATGATCCTGGTGTTTTTATTTTGCTATTTTGTCTGTAAAGAAATTCCTGTTCCTAACATGGACCTTGCTTCAAATTCGC